ATAGTTTTAAAATGTGGTTTAGATTATCAAAATAGTAGAATTATTTAAAATAGAATTCAACTTTATTTCAATTCAAATTTATTTTATTCCTTTTTTGGTACTAACACAACGAGTTAAAGTCTGTTAAGTCAATGGCTTTGGAACCACAAAAATAAAATTTGAAACGCCACAGCGACTGAAGGTTAACCGCATTTGGCGGAATTATTTTTTTTTTTTTGTTGAGTTTATTTATATGCCGTCGACAATTTCTGAGGAAAATTTTTGTTATTTCATTAAAAACATAAAATCCCTAATGTAATACGTCATTACTTACGTCACTGTGCGCTAAAATTGCGTACATATTTTATGAGTGTTCATACGTATCATCGGAATTTTTTCTTTTTAATTGTAAGACAATACAAAGCAAACCAATCAGTCCGACAGCAACAATACTAAAAGCAAAAACAACATAACTAGTAGTAACAACAATGTAACTAGAAGAGAAAAAATCACATAAATAGTAGTAACAACAATGCAACAAAAAACAAAAACAACATTACTAATAGTAGGAACAATGTGACTAGAAGCAAAAATAATGTAACTAGTAGTAACAACAATGTAACTAAAAGCAAACTCAACATAACTAGTAGTAACAGGAATATAACTAGAATCAAGAATAGCAAAAACAAATTAAAAGGTTGGTAAAAAGCATTTAGACAATGTTATTATTAAGGAAACGTACTTTCTGTGCACTAACTTCCACTTGTCATTCCCTCACGCATTTTAGAAGAGGTTAAGTAAAAATAACTGAACTAGTTTCATATTAGTTGTTATTACTCGTCGTATTTCACATCACATTCTGAGATACAGCATTGACCACCTGTGGTCTGTCGACGACTTTTCGAGGAATTGTCGTTCAATGTACAAACAAACACACAAAATAGCTTGAGTCTTAAAGTTTTCTGCGTATTTAGTTTGGAAAGCCGATAGACCATCTCAGCGGCAGTCAACTGTTTTCCGAAGTGACAATAAAAGTGACGTTGCGAAAATATTGAAAAAGCAATAAAAAAAGCTTCTTGGCCTATATTCTTTGATTTGTTTATTATTAGCACAAAATGGATTGTGTGAATATATAAACAAGAACCCGTATGTGTGTCTGTGAATTCTATTCCATTTTTGATAGTTTCTGACATATTCTGGCAACTAAATTTAGTCATACTTTATCCTAGCATGTTTATTTTTAGCAGTCGAGTGGACATTAAATATTTGAGGTGGTTTTAAGTTGTTCACAAAGTAGGCGAGCATTGTTTTGAAGGTTACGTATTTTTTCGAAATTATGGGTGCTATTACTCAAGGATTATTATAAGTAGTAAGCTTTAAAGCCACCTTCGCCAATATTTTAATGCGAGTTATTTGTCAGACATATTCTGAACACATCTTGTAGATTGGCTCGGACTAAAACTAACGACCGGATACCAAAAAAATGTGATGTAACCTTAACTTAGGCAAGAATAAAAATCAGATTAAAACTGTCTTTTAGGAAGTATAATGTAGAGTTGATGCCCTCTCTGAACAGTGCAAGGAGTTTATTTAAGTTTGTTTTATATAGGTCGATGAAACTGTCTTTGACCATTACTGTTCATTCAATAGTTTTCGAATTAGGATTTGTTCAAGCGTCTGAGTTTTTAAACTATATATCCCGAGTTGAATACGATCCAAGTCTAGTTATTTGACGGTAAGCCCTTCGTTTCAGAAAACTTTTATATAATTATACATAAGCCTTACAAATTAAAATAAATTGTATTTAACAGCCCATACTTCTTTATGGTACTAACCATATGTATATATTCTACATAAGCCATTCTTAAGTGAGAGTTAGCGTAAATAAACTAATTCATCGTTCATAAGAATATGATGGAATGCAATACAAACTCAGTTATATTCTCGCAAATAGTTCGTTCTATAAATTTCCATTTTCTTGAATATACTCTTATTGGCTTTTACTGCTATAATCAATAAATGCCATATGACCGTTTTATGTATGTGAAACTCAGAAAAATACTGGGAGACCGAAATCTACAAACTTATCAAATTTTAACCAAAGCTTTAGCAAACAGAACATCAATATGCGCTTCATGCTACTCACTGCGATAAATGGCCAAAAATCAAATCTTCCAAAGGATTTAATTAAGTGCATAAATCATTGTCGCAGGTTCTGGAAAGTAACGCTTCGAATACAAGCCGAATACAAAATATCACTTGAAGTAAAAAAGTAGAGAGAAAATTAAGCTTTCAGAAGAGCAAAATGAAAAAGATTCTGATTATTTTCATCGATTCGAAGGATCTATGTTTGAAAATTATGTTTCAAAAATGCTTCTAAAACTAATATCATTCTGTAAACTTCAAATTTTAAATAAAAATCAATGATAAACTGGAATCAAAAATAAAAACAATATTTTTGTGCAATATTTTTCAAAATTTCATTAAACTTAAATTAAATGCGTATACGTAAATTACTTCTAAAAATAATGCCATCCGGAATATTTCGGGTTTAATCGTAAATCAAAATCAAAAATAAAAAATAAAAATTTTTATTATATATTTTTCAAAACAAAAAAGTTTTTTAAAGGTAACGGTTAACATTTGCAACTTAATATTAACGACTTTTATTATTTATATTATTTACTAAAGTTTCAATTTATTATTTTTAAAATGCAATAAAATGTAAGTCACTATTATTCATAGACCCTAAAATAAAAACTAATTTTAAATGTCTCAACAAGATACGGATATTTTTATTCCAAAAAAGGAATTCATAAAAAAAACTTCATCTCAATCGGAGGTGATGGAGTCAAAAATCATTGCGCATATAGAAGAATGAACGATATACGCATTATTTTTTGAAGAGTATCACATCCCTGTAAGAAGTTGACGTGAATTATATGTATAAGTTTTATATAGTTGTAAAATTTAAATTTTAACTTACAAACTTATATTTGAATTTATATACTCCTTTCTAAATCTTAACTCATATAGATTGTCTATTAATTTTATTTGAAAACTTTTTGTATTTTGAACTTAAACTAATATGAAGTAAGACAAAATTTGATCTGGGCCAGGAGAAGGTCACTGGGTGGAGAAGTGCGCTCCCCTTGTGACATAAGAAGGTCCTCAACGGCTGATATTCTGACTTTCATTCGGAAGGTGAAATGTCTTCTATTCGGTTAGAGTCTGTTGCAGCACAAAAAATCAAACATGGTTGCAGTGCTCTGCTCCGTTGGAAACTGGTACATTGTTTGTTCCTATTCCTAGAACAAAATTTTGATTTTTAGATTGACGGCTTTAAATTTCGATTCTTGAATCATATTTATAGTGATTTATATCGGATTGAATCGAAACAGTTTCAAATGTTCTTGTCCCTTTTTAACTCTTATAGATTGCTTAAAACCCACGCTTGCGCACCCATTCCACTCCCTTCACTATCTTTCAAGCTCCCTAAAATATGTACATGCTTTTTGACTTCGATGAAGCTAGTAAATGTTCACTATTCATTCCAAAGAGGTGGTTTTAGTGGGTTCAAGATTGCTTGAAAAACAAGTAATTGCTTACTAACTCAATTAAAGTGATCACAGGTTCAATAAAAGATTTTAAAGAAAACTTAAGAATCACTCATGTTAAAGTTACGCATTTTTAAAGTAGGCCTTTTTTGATGTTTATAAAATTCCTTGAATTATTTCCTATAAGTAAAACACTTCTGTGTCCATTTTTAAATTCAAAAAAAAAAATAAATATACTTATGTAATATCCTTTTTGTTTGAAATATATTTCAATAAAATGTTTAAATTAACAAAAATTCCAACTTAAAATCAAATATAAGTATTTATATATACCTACAATAACTCTATTACATATTGACCTTTCTGCAAAGTGATAGGAGCTTCCCTATGTCTGCGATAAACAAACAAAATGTTTTTTTTTTGTACTAAATTACTTTACTTATACGTCACACTGCGTTCACACCGAAGCCTTTTTGAAATGTTTAACAGCATCAATGTTTCCTTTCATGTAATTTGTTATTTAAATGGTTAATAGCAGCTAATTTTCGCGCCCCCACACTTTCGCGCTTCGTGCCAACTTAGCACACGGTCCTCACACACATTTCACACCCAAACTTTTTGCATTTCCTGTAAAATATGCTCATCTATCACACACCTACTCTCGCCCACCCACTTCGCGTTGTTATCTTTGCCTAAAAGTAAATACAAATCAAAACAGAAAAACCAAAGGAAAACTTTATAAATTGTCATACGCAATCTTTGCAAAAAACTTTTATACATATTTGACTTTAATTTGATGTTTTGTTTTTGTTTCTAATTATATCTATTCTTTTCACTCATTTAACAATTCTGGGTATTTGCTGCAGTTTTACGCATTTCATTGATAAAAAATTCAGCAACAAATCAACGCAAAGCAAAGAAATCAAATTAAATTACATATTAAAAATCACGTACATGGATTTGTTGATTTTTTTTGTTTTTTTGTTGTAGTGGTTTGAGTGTCTTACCGTTTGGCGCTACGATACAAGCTTTTACAACTGAAAGCTACATGACTCACTACCACACACACTAGTGAAAGCATACAAAGCTTGCATAACACAAACACACACAAATACAAACACAATCGCTCGGTTGTAGAGGCGGCGCGGCTCTATGTGCTTGCATAGCTCATGACTAAACCAAATCCTTTTTGCTGCTTATCAGCACTGATAGGGAATCGTGGCTATGTGTTCGGTCTTTAAGGCTTCTTCTTCTTCTTTATTAGCGAGACTTTGTCGGTGGCGTCGACGCCATTGGTATTAGCATCGTTCGGTGCAGTTATCGTATTCGATGTCGTATGCGTTGTCTTCGGTTGCTCGTTGCTCGTTGCCTTCGTGTGTTGTGTTCACTTACGGGATCATTATAAAAGCGCGCCAACTGCCGTTTAGAATTGCATTGTTCAACAAGTGGCGCAGTCGACACATACAAATAACGGTTTGTTTTGAACAGTTCATATTGAGATTTAACGGAAAAATATTTTTCAAATATTCGCCAAAAAAAATATAAATTGTGACAAAAAATCATTTAAAAATAAAAGGTATTTTAAAATAATAATAATAATTTTATTAAAAACAAAAGGCTTGTGTATTAAAATTGTTTACTATTTTATAAATGATGTAATAAATAGAAACAAAAAAAATTAAAATTAATTTTAAAATTTAAATTTAAATATTGAAAACAAAAAAAAAATTATATATATAAAAATATTTATTTATAAATTAATATAATATAAAACTGAAAAAATAAACAAGTGAGTTGTGTGATGTGATTTTTGTGTAATTTTTTAGGTACATTTGAACGTGTGTTGTGTGTTTGCTATTTGCTAATTCCATAAATATTTATTATATTAAATGTTTTTTAAAAATTTATCTATTATATTTTTATATATACGTATTTAATTTAAATAAACTGTTTAAGCAAATGCAAAGCAATTTCACAACTGAACTTTTACATTTTTCATAAAATTCTGGCAGTATTCAATTAATTCATAATTTATAATTATGAAAAAAAATTATATTGAATATATTAGTACAGCCAATTACTAAAAACTAAGAACTCTTTATAAATACATATAATGTAATGTTGAACAGCAATTTATTACAAAATCTTTACAAAATCAAGTATTAAATATTAAAAAATATTATAAGGCATTAATACGTACCGATGGACTTTATCTTACTTTTAAATATTCGATAAATGTTTTTAAATTTTTTTCATTTATAAAAAGATTCAATAAAATATATAGTCTTAATAAAAATATGAAATATAAATAAAAAACAAAACTGTGAACAATAATAAAAGTATCAGCTTGCTAAAAATCTAATTAAATAATTTACTAAATATATAAAATAAATAATTTTATATAAAATTAATGTAATAATTAAAGTAATAATAATATTTTTAATGTGACATTTCTACAAATATAATATCTTCAAAGCATGTATCCATGCTGTTGTATATTCAATGGAAATATACAAAACCACCTTAATTTGAAAGCAAATAAAGCTATACTATTCTGTTTTTCTTTTTTAAGTATAAAGTTAAGCTTCAATGTTATTATAACCCAACATATACAACATTTTTTCTTGTTATCTTGCGTTTATATTTTCAACTGAAATGCATTAGTAATTTGTGTCACTCATACGCACTGTAGTACAGTTCGTACACATTTTCAAAAATCTATAAATTTTATAAAAATTTTTAGCATCTGTAAAATTAAATAAAGAAATTATTCAAATATAGGTTTTATGATATATATTTTTAATATAACTATAAAAATTTAGAAAAAAAAAAAAAAAATAATTCACAACTGCTTTGTAAGGAAACTTTCTGCACAAATACATTGAACTCAAGCATTGGAGAAGTCAACGCAAATTTTTTTGCAAATTTTTGCTTTTATAGTTTAATGCGTTGAAAGTTGAAAATATGTGTTCCCAAGCTCATAAAATCTGTTATCATACAATCATTTTTATTCATTTACTTTACAACTAATTCATTTCAGTTTAGTTCCCGAATTTTACTTCTTAAAAAACTGCACATTGTCACATAAAATACAAAGGAAGCCTACTTTATCATATAATTTTATGTTGATAGGCAATGAAACTGGGAATTCGCTATAAAAACTTACTACAAGAATACACAATTTAGATATTTAACTAAAAACTAGTACTTTAAGTAAGTAATATACAGGTTTCATGTTATAAAAGCTTTTATATGAAGAGTTTTGCAGATTCTTGCAGATTTATTTATTTAAATAATAGTTACGTTAAGATACAAAGAAAAATATCATAACTTATATTTATAATGGTAGGGCTTAAACCAAAAACCCTGGACTTCTGACCTTTAGACCAAAACTTATATCCAATCATAGGGGCTAGAATTACAAACTTCTTATTTAATTTATGTTTTTAAACTAGAAACTTGATTCTCATTTAAATCGCAACTCTTTTTTTGTTCAGCATTGGTCTAAAATAATTTGCAAACATCTATTTTTAAATTTATTAGATTTAATAAGCTGGGTTATGCTTCGTTTCATAGAAGAAGTACAACGTGTTTAGTAAAAGATAATAATGTGCCGAATAAATTGTTAAAAGTGTATTACATTTATTTTTCTTAAAATTGGGCTTTAAATATCAGGGATCATTACTTAACTTACTTTAACTTTTCAGTTGCATCTTTAATTTCACCCGTCTCCTTCTAAGTGATTTTCCTTTTTTTGTCCTGCCATTTTAAATGTCATCTTCGTAATGCCGTTGTTGTCCATTCTGCAGATATATCCTAAGATATAGTCCAGCATAGTTGAAACTGTACGTTTCGGTAACGCACAACCTTTGACACAACCCTTGGATCCATTTCATTATAATATCTAATTCTATAAGACACACCAAACACCTACCGCTTTTATAATCGAAGTGCAATTGATAGTTCATATTCATATATATAGAAATATAGTTTACACTTCTCTATAGAATATTTTGTCTAAGTGGTTTTAGATGTCGAAAATAATTGCTTGAAGTCCATGTTAAAAGTACATCGCTGCAACGTAATTAAACATTTGATGAGTTACTTCTATGTACAATTCACAGTAGTATAGGGCTGGTTACTGCAGATTAAGTACAATTAAATAAATAAAAATGATAGTTTCGAACAGTTTTTTAATTAAAAATTTTTCTAAGATTTATAACAATGGAAATTAATATGTAACCAATATCCAAGCTACAGTTTTTGTCAGAGTTTTTGTCGTTGTGGGACGTTTGAGTGACATTTGTAATACAAAAAGGCACATGTGCCCAACGTAGATACCATTCGGGTGTCATTTTTGTTATATTTAAGCTTTTTTTCTATTATTATAAAAATTTCATTATATAAATAGATGGGTTCTTATTTCTTATTTTACTATGATTTCCAAAATACATTTATGAATATTTTATTTTCGTGTTTGTTGAACTTTCATCTAATTTTATTATTAAAACTAAAATAATTTTTGCACTGTTTTCGCTATAATTTTATTTGATTATATACATATATAAAATGTAAATTCAAAATTGTTGGCCCATGCTCATCAATTGAGTAAGAATTGTATTATTAGTAAAAATTTATTATAACCACTATGAACTATACATAATTAAGCATATTATTCATAGTCTTGAAGGTACTGTATGGCTAGATTAGGTTAGATTTTGCTTGCACACCAAAAAACCAACGCTTAGACCATTGAGATCAATTGCGATACCAGATCAGAGTCGTTATTGTTTTTAGCGATAGTCTGCATCGCTTAGGATCCGATAAAACTGACAGCCCCCAAGTATTTTTGTCGAGTTCTTAAAAGAGCCGACCAGTTACACATTTATAACATATATTTATTTAATTATAATTGTCACAGAAATAGCATAAAATAAATTGACTAATAAATTTGTATAAATACTTATATCTCCGTACTATTATATATCTTTATTATATATATAAATTGCGGTAGCACGAACATTTCTAAATCTTTTCAAGATGACATTTATAGTAGTTAAAAAACTTAATTCACTTTTTTAAAATATATATGTTTAATATGTTTATAAATTAAAATCATCTTTGTAGATACCGTAGAAAGAAATATTTTACAATATTAGGTTTGACCTGCAAAATGATATAGTGGGTTTGAATCTGATGACATTAAAGGCTACTGTGGGGTTGAAATGCGCTAGGGAGTGTTGTTAAGCAGTTGTTATTGTTTGATGAGGTGTAAAATCTTATGGAAACGTCAACTTTCTCTCACCAAAATGTTTACTCGTCTATATCTCTAGACTAACATCACAAAATCTTTAGCGAGAAATGCCCGAATTACCCTTGATGCTCCTCTTTCTATCAAAACTAGTATATTTTTCAACATCAGTAAAAACTTGACGTTTTTAAAATTTGCAAGTTCTTACTCTGTACTAATTTTTGATTTCCCTTCCGGTGGGAATTTCATATAATGCCAACGTTAACTTCTAGAACGCTAGCACTTAGAATAATCACAAAATATTTCTGTGTAAACATTTTTGATGTTTTACTAAAAAGTGCCAGGTGACAGCACTAAGCAAAATTAACAAATGAAAAAATTCCACAAATTTTTTTAAATAAAAATGTGCAATCATTAATGTTCCCTGAACATACCAAATGATACATCCAAAGACGTGATTAGCGATAGTTTAGGGTTAATGCCTCAAAGGTTAACAATTGAAAATGAAGTGACAAACCCAGAAGTATTTAGGTAAGATATAGATACTTTCATATTAAAATAAAACTGTTCGCTTTTCAAAATCATCAATTTTAATTCAATTTAAAAATTTTATTTTAATTTTAATGCTGTGATTCATTGAAGCACTAAATTATTCCACAGACGGTTTGTAATAATGGCACATCAAAATAAATTTTTTTGAATTATTTTCAAAAACTCATTCGATATTATACTCTTCAATAAAGAATATACTATCTTAAGCTACTCTTACAAACCGACTTATCAACACAGTTTTCTTAAAACAATTAGTTGAATTTTGACAAAGGGAAAAAGTTGTTTTAAAAGAAAGTTTTAATTGTAGTGACGCACATATATCAAGTTATCATAAAATTCTTTTCAGAGTATCAACGGTGACAATTTCCTTGGAGCTCATAGTTACAAGACCAGTATCTTCTAACAATTAGTCTCGTTTTACATATTCTGTGGGGACCTCAATAGCATGGTAGGATGAGGCAACTACTTCCTTCATTTTTATAGCTATGATTATACGGTCATGAAAATAACTTTTCTGCACTCTTTTTGCAAACAGTGATATAGTTCGATGACTCAAGGTACAAACCGTTGACTACTACTCTAAAATTGTTACCTTTGAAATCGATAACGAGTAAAGGTTTTTCCAAAAAAACTAAAACGCAAATATTTCACTACGTTTATAAATAAAAAAAATCTACTGTCAGTGTTGTCAGTAGTTAAAAAGTTATCACTAGTTATAGTGACTTGAAGTTAATTGCAATAACAATAATTTATTAGTATTTAAAGTTCAAGAA